ATTTAGGATTAAAATTTTAATTTATTTTAAGAGTTATGATTGATTTACATTTTTCCTTTAATTAAAACCCTTTTAACCAAAAAAAAAAAAAAACCCTAATCCCTTTCGGGCCTTTTCTTGACGGAATGCCGTTGGGCCTATTAAGTTGTTTTCTTAATATAAGCCCGGTTCAAAAATGTAATCTGATTACAACTAAGTCCTGTTAAATTAATGTCAAACCTTCAAAATCCGCCCCAATTATGGGAGTAGAGACAGATTTATCTTTTAATTAAATAGAAGGATAACTCATGATTTGGATAAATAATTTAAATTTAAATGTTGACATTAGTTTTTTGTTACTTTCTTACTTATGTGGCTTTTTTTTTTTCCTTTTTTTTTTTTTTATCTATACTGCCAGTAAAGCCGATATCATGATATTAATAGTTAAATTTAGAGCAATTTGTCTCACTTAATTAGTTGGTGGGTGATTTGTCCATATATTTAGTTGGAGGATAGATTTGTCTATGCCCCTATAATTGAGGGGCAGATTTGGGGTTAGTCTTAAATTAAATAAATTTTTTTCTGAAAAAGATTAAAATATATAAGTTTAATTTGATAGCACTATCTATAGTTACAATTGTAAATTTTTTTTTTTTGTCTTTAACCATCTTAAAAATATAATTTATATAATTTATATATTTTTAATACAAAAATAAAAAAAGAACCGAGAAGTGTAGTAAAAAAAAACAAAAAAAGAAGCCATAAAAAGCAACATAGACTACGGTTCGTATTATCCGCCGCAACAATTGGTGATATAAAAATGGCGGGAATATGGAGGGAACGTTTCGCGCCATTTCTCTCCGTCAAAGTTCCCTTTTTTCGATTGCTCTCTGCAATACTGCAACCCTAGTGGAAAAATCCATCCCACCCCTTCTTGTCCCAGCATCTATGGCGGAAACCCCACGGAAATCTCTCCTATCCCTCAAAAAGCAAAACCAATCTCCCCATAGTCCGAATCAAGAGTCCTCTACTTCAATCTGTCACACTCTGCAAACACCGCCAACTCAAAATCCTCTACGCCGATCCTCACGCCGAGCATCCAAAGATTCAACTGTGTTTCGCCGTTTGTCCAGTGATTGTGATTATGATTTATCCGGTTGCAAAACACCTCGACAGTCAGTCGAAGATCCCGGTAACAATCTCGGGCAAATCGAGAAGAGAGCCAACAATGATGAGATTGCGAGAACCCCGATCTCAAAACCTCCTAAAACACCCAGATCCACTAAAGGCAAAATAAATGAAGAAAATCTAAAAACCCCAAAGTTGGGTAGAAGCGGTGAGGGATCGGTTGAGGTTACATTTTCTCCGGCATCACCAGAACTGACAGAGAGGAAGAAGAGGAAGAGAGGGGAAGAGAGAAGTGTGGCGACAAGATCTACGGCCACAAGGAGTGCTAAAGTACAGGAAAAGAACAAGACAAAGAAGAGAGTATATTATAAAAAGGTAGTGTACGATGGATGTGAGTTTGGGGTCGGAGATGATGTATATGTGAAAAGGAGAGAAGATGCAAGCTCGGACAATGAGGACCTCGAAATGGAGGAATGCAGAGTGTGCTTCAAGGCAGGAATGAGCGTGATGATCGAGTGTGATGATTGTCTAGGTGGGTTTCATTTGAAGTGCTTGAAGCCACCACTGAAAGAGGTTCCGGAAGGGGATTGGATTTGTGTGTTCTGTGAGGCCCAGAAACTGGGCAAGCAGATTGAACTTCCAAAGCCACCAGAAGGGAAGAAGCTGGTTAGGACTTTGAGGGAAAAGCTCCTTTCCAGCGACTTGTGGGCTGCCCGGATAGAGAGGTTTGATTATTTTCCCTTGATTGATGGAACACTGTGTTTCATTTTTGGTTTACCTGCCTGTTGATAGAGATTAATGGGAGTCTTTTTTTTTGGACATATGCAGTTTGTGGAAAGAAGTAGATGGTAGCTATTGGTTCCGTGGTCGATGGTATATAATTCCAGAAGAAACTGCTGCTGGAAGGCAGCCACATAACTTAAAGAGAGAGCTTTATCGAACAAATGATTTTGCTGATATTGAGGTTATGGATTTTTTTTTTTTGAAATTGCTTATTTGCTAACATTATATTAAATACAGGAGTATTTGTGACCCTTGGATGGATTTATTCTTTTAGGAAGACTTTTCTTGTTTGATCATGTACTTATATGTTGGATGGTTGTTATGTTCTTGTTCTTGAATTAGTTTGGTGCTTGAATTTACTTACTTTATGCCTGATTTTGTAGTTAAATCCATTATTTTTGTTATTTCATTTTGTTTGGTTACTGCCAAGTCCTTAAAGTTGTATTTTAAAGCAGATAAGAAAATGCGCTTAAGCACATTAGTCTTTCTTTTTAGAATTTGAGAAAAAAACTAATCATCCTAACTTATATTAGATAGACTTTTCTAGAACTTGTGAAAAACTAATAATTATACAAGTCAATTATATTAAATCAGGTGATATTGTATCTTTAAGCAGATTTCCCACCTTCTACAGCCTAAAGTGATTTTACAGTGTTACCGTTTACTGGGGAAGAAAGATGTTGGCAGCCAGAGCCATCATCTGCTCTCTTTCCCCTTCTGCCTTCAATTAATTCCTAAATAACTAAACTGAATGACTTGTTAAGTATTAGACATCTGAAAAAATTGTACTAACTTTGAGTTTAAAACTGTTGGCATTGCAGATGAAGTCTATTATTAGGCATTGCTTTGTCAAGAACCCCAAAGAGTATGCTAAAGCCAACAATGAAGGGGATGATATTTTTCTATGTGAATATGAATATGACATACACTGGAACAGTTTCAAACGACTAGCAGATTTCGATAATGATGAAGAGGTGAGCATTCAAAAAATAGAATCACCACATAAAAGGTTTTTATGACATTAATGAAGCTTGCATCATGTAGAAACTTATTGGTTTCTTTCTGTTGCTTGACAGGGCAGTGTTGACGATGAGAGTGACGAAGATTGGGATTCTTGCAAGTATGCTGCTGACTCTGATACAGATGAAGACATGGATTATGAAGTGGAGGAGAAGAACTTACAAGCCAGACCATCCTCAGCTCCAGGATTGGCTGCAGTATGGAAATTCTCTACTACTGTCCAGGTTTTCTGCGTATTGGTTGCCAAATTACTGATATTCAATCTTCCGATTGTACAGAATTCTCGGAAAGGGCGTTTCTTTGGACTTCAAAAAATAGGGGTAAAAAAGATCCCAGAGCATGTGAGATCCCACAAACAAACTGAGCTGGAAAGAGCTAAGGCAATGCTTTTGTTGGCAACATTGCCAAAATTCTTACCTTGTAGGAGCAAGTACGTGAGACTTCATATCATCATTGTCTTTTCTTTCCTCTTTTTTGCTTATCCGTTGTTATATGGTCTCTAATGGACTATTTTCCCTTTCAGAGAAATGGAGGAGATTACTGCATTTATAAAGGGTGCTATTTGTGATGATCAGTGTCTTGGACGTTGCCTTTACATACATGGTGTTCCTGGAACTGGAAAGGTACAATCCAGACCATTGAATCATATGAATCCTGTTTTCTTGTTTTGATCTTCTGCTGCGTTATTGGAGCTAGATATGAGTGAAGTGTTTCACTTATTTCATCTTTTGTTCCAAATGAATTACAGACAATGAGTGTCCTAGCAGTATTGAGGAACCTAAAATCTGAAGTTGATGCAGGAAGAATTAGACCGTACTGCTTTGTGGAGGTTAATGGTCTAAAGTTGGCTTCAGCAGAGAATATTTATAGGGTAAAATATACCACAAAGTTGATTTTTTAACTAAAAAATTACTCTCTGCTTGCCTTTTGAATTTATGGTCTATATTCTAAAAGGTTATTTTTGCCTGCCTTGTAAATTTTTGTTCTAAATTCTAACAGGTTATTTATGAAGCATTAAGTGGACACAGAGTTAATTGGAAAAAGGCTCTCCATTTGCTGAATGAACGATTTTCAGAAGGAAAGAAAACTGGCAAGGAAGATGATCGGCCTTGTATTCTACTCATTGATGAACTTGATCTTCTAGTAACCAGAAATCAGTCGGTAATTGTGCATGCAATATTTGATGTGAATCAGCAGTCACTTTGCAATTTTTGTTTTGGAAAGTTCTATGTGTAATGCCACTTCCTTTTGTTACAGGTTCTGTATAACATTCTTGATTGGCCTACTAAGCCACATTCCAAATTGATTGTGATAGGTATATTTGTTTTTTTTTTTTTTTTATGATAAATCTTTAAAATCTATGTGATGATGATGAGGTAAGGATGCTAGTGAGAGTTCTACATGATGCTGAATCCTCTATGTTCAGGAATAGCAAATACTATGGACCTTCCAGAGAAGTTGCTGCCTCGTATTTCAAGCCGGATGGGTATTCAAAGGCTCTGCTTTGGTCCCTATAATTATCTTCAACTTCAAGAAATCATTTCGAGTCGTTTGAAAGGAATTGATGCGTTTGAAAAGCAAGCAATAGAATTTGCTTCAAGAAAGGTCTCTTTCTTATTCTTAGTTTCCTGACTTGTCCATCTGGCGAACTAGATGCACTTAGCATATAGTTAATTTCCTGAATATGATTTTACTGACATTCATTTTCACTTCAAAACATGCTATGCATGTTTTCAGGTAGCAGCTATTTCAGGAGATGCACGTCGTGCATTGGAGATATGCAGGCGAGCAGCAGAAATTGCAGACTTTCATATTAAGACACAAGCTTTAACTGTGAATTCCTCTGCAGGTAGATAAGTTCCATAGATCCACTGAAATCTAAGCTTTCTTCATGTAATTACTGATAAATTGGAAAATGGTAGACACTTCATACCTATATCATATTGCCAATACCAACCACCTATTGGTCCGAGTGAAGGGAGCTCGGTTCCCTTAAGTAAGGTCTTGAGTTCGAGTCTTGTAAATGGAGAAATAGGCGCTGGGAGAGTTTGCCCTTAATGGTGTCCGACACAGCTCGATTCTGGATTTATCAAAACCCAATGTAGTTACCGGAAACTTAGAGGTTAATACCAAAAAAATATCGCATGACCGATACTGGTGTAAATAATTGTAATTCAGATTTTAACCCACAAAGTTTCTGACTTCATTTAGCATTAAATTCTGGTCTAATTGCTTTCCCTGCTTGCTATAGTAATTCTGTTTGGTTCAGTGCCACACTGACAATAAAATTAGCTTGCAAGTCACTTCTTTCAGAACTAATACTTTTTATTTTAGTGGCAACGGCCATGATTACTCATGATTCAATGTTTTATCATTTACCAGGTAAAGTCCTGGTTGGTATGGCAGAGGTTGAAGCAGCTATTCAGGAAATGTTCCGGGCACCTCATATTCAAGTGAGTTGTAATTATCAAATTAACTATTTAGCCTGCAAACGAAAAATTGTAATTCATTCTTCTTGCCTACTTCAAAAGGAAATGGAATGTTGTTAATCCAATAAGCTTTACGAGCTTTCATAAAAAATAAAAAATAAAAAAGGCTTCACAAACCTTTCATCAAAAAATAAACAAGGGTTCTTTAATGGCATCTGAATTGACAATGTATTGTCATAGAAGGACAAGCATAACTTCATGCGTATATTCTTTTTGCAGGTAATGAAGAGCTGTTCGAAGTTGAGTAAAATCTTCTTAACGGCTATGGTTTATGAGCTCTATAAAACAGGGATGGGTGAAATAACCTTTGAAAAGGTGAAATCTCTTTGCCTTCCTCTTCTTTGATCATTCAGGATGGGCTGGTAGCACTCTAATTTCCATCCTAATATGTAGAACTGGAAGCTAAAGGTTTCGATTCTGAAAATGAATAACATGTAAGACATGTACGTTTTTGGGTGTTCTGTTAAAAAGAACTTTCTTGATATTGCAGTTGGCAACCACTGTTTCATGCATTTGCTCAAGCAATGGAGAAGCATTTCCTGGTTGGGACACACTCTTGAAAGTCGGGTATGTCACCTTCTACTGTCTTTCTTCAAAGGGTCGAGTTTTTTTAACTCTTCCAGATACATCAATAAAGGACATGCCAACACACTTGCAAGTAACTGAGCATTCAACTGTTTTAACCTAATGTTTTCTAAAGCCACGTGAGAGAAGCAATCAAGTTTTGCTTTCGTTACCCTAATTTTGTCCCCCTAATTTTGCAGCTGCAAGCTTGGTGAATGCAGAATTATTTTATGTGAACCAGGAGCCATGCACAGATTGCAGAAGCTGCAGCTTAACTTTCCCAGGTTAGTTACCAAGCATAACTTCATGTAGAAATTACTAAGTAGAATGGTTACTCTTATCATATCTGATCAAATCTTATTTGGTTTGTGTTGCAGTGATGATGTGGCTTTTGCATTGAAAGACAGCAAGGATCTGCCATGGTTGGCCAAGTACCTATGATCTCAGATCCTAGCAGCTGAAATTCATTTTTAATTTATAACCACAGTTTTGGCTTGATTTTCATGTTATTCTTATTGATGATAAACGTCATATTATTGCTTTTCATCCATGCTTCAACCTCCAACTGTAAAATGCGTGGCAAATTGTTGTTTGTTGTACAAACTTGTTTCATTAGACAAATTTATGATTCTCTTGAATAAATATCAAACTCTTTGGTAGGCAATCCACGTGGTAACATTCTTTTTTTAGCAGTCACGAACCACTTGTATATGATTTTCTGGTGGTAATGCTCATCATGGCAGTTTTTGGATTCTAAGAAGCAAGCTACAAGTCCCATAAAAATTGAAAAATAACACTTTCAAGTAAATCACAACCCATTGTAAAATGTCAACTTTTCATGGCAATACAAAAGCCAGATTTGCTTGTTTTTCAATCTCTATCTCATACAAATGTTTTCCGGATAGGGCATGTAACAAGCAATAATCTAAAACTACAAAGAAACAGTATCCCATAAAGCAATTCAAAAGAAATTGAGAAAAAACACAAATGCACTAATTCTTGTTTTCTGCCAATCCATTAATTACTTCATCAGGCTGACGCATGTTCTAACCATTTTCTCTGCATGACGGATTCTTGCAACCTAGTGCACCATAAGTGACGCACAGTCTCTCCGGCAACCATGTAGATCATGTCATAATTATTATCCCATAAACAATATAGAGATGCTCAACCTTGCGGGGTGAGGGAGGATGTCCTCAGCCATAATGGCCGACCTAATATGGCACTTCCATGCACAGAAAGGTAAGCAGCGTTTAACCTAGCAACCAAAGATTTCAAGTAATTTAGCCAAGAAACAAAACATGCGTCATTACATCCCAAAAGCATAGGAGAGTAATTTACTTATCAACATCAGGTGTAGCCAAGGGATCATATGACTCTTCCCTCTGATCAACAGCTGGGATCCCACCTGCCACTGCTGCCATATCTTGAACACCTTCAACCTGAAACCAATTTGCTCAAATTTTACACTTCAACCATATTTAGAACAAAGAACCTTATTGAATTCCAACTTATTACTTAATGTACTTGCTAAGACATATTGTTAAATTTCTTAGGGGCATCCAGATCATTTGACTAAAAGTCATATTTTAAATCAGAAGCTTCATCTGTCCAGCTAAAACTATGTTCCACCCACAAAAGGTTGATTAGACGAGTCATGGTGTTCATGCATTCATAAGCGAACAAGAGAAACTCCGTGGGAAGTATGGCAGGGTATAAACAAAGATGAACAGCAGTAAAGACTAAATTAGCCCACACTGCTTGTAAGCTCTAATTAATGTTATATACTTTATACAAGAAAGCCTAACAGCATTGCTGTAATGTAAGATCCAATACTAATAGGTATAACTTGGAAACAGATAAAACTTGCCTGAGGATACTGGGCATAACCATATGCTCCATATGCATATAATGATGGATCATGTGCAGCCCCATAAGCATAGGCATCATACCCTTGTCCATAGCCATAGTATGCATTCCATTGACTTGGATCTACCTGTGCACTCCAGCCACCAGGTATGTCCTACAGTAAGCAAAAGATATCACCAAGCTAGTAATATAACAAATAAATAAAATATATGTAAGGCATCAGATCATACAAACACCTATGACCAAGGACAATTTCATACTGAAAAGCATTCGTTTGACCAAACGATTGCCGTGTGACACTCCAGAATGGGAAAAAAAAAAATTGCTCTTAACTGAACTAGGTTGGGAAAAGAGTAAGTGAAATATCACCTGCTTTGCTGTTGTGTTCTTACCCCAAGAAATTCGAACTCCTTGTGTACCAATGATTTGCCCATCCATTCTCCGAATGGCTTCCTCAGCAGAAGTCCTGTAAACCAACCCAGAAATGATTTTAGAAACAACTATCATCTTAGATATCATTGATCAAGGTAATGATGGCTTTGACTGCTGAAAAAACCTTGTCACAAACTGTATAAAGCCACATCCTTTAGCGACAGGAATCTTGACATAAGAAATATCTCCAAATGGGGAAAATAGTTGCTTCAATTCCTCTTCAGTGATATTAGGGTCCAAGTTGCTAATAAAAATCTGCAGATAACAAGATAGTAAGAGAAAATTCATAATTAATTTTATGTCTGCAATAGCTTTAGTACAAATGACTTACTGTGGTGTTGTTGATGTCATTATCTGCTGGAACTGGAAGTACTTGCACTGGAGTTGTGTATGCTGGAACTGGATACACAGCTGCAGAAGACATGAGCAAGCACATATTAAAAGCCTTCCCTCAGTGTTAGCATGCATGGACAAAAAAATTAATTCAACAAGAATCTCTATGCCTAGAATGTCCATATAAAATAGATGACATAATCAAGATCCCAATTGAGAGATACCAGACCACATGGTAAACAAGAAGATTAAGAAGCACATATCAGCTTATGGTTTTTATCATGTATAAGCTTGTGAAGCAAAAATGACCTTTTGCCATGGGATATTGCTGTTGGAAACCAGTGGTCTTCTTTGGAGTTGCTGCACTGATACGCATTGCTCTAGTTGAGCAATAGACGCCATTCATCTCAGTCATGGCACGATTTCTTTCATTCTCATCAGAGAATTTGACAAATCCGTATCCTTTTGAGCGTCCAGTATTTGGATCAGTCACCACCTTGGCACCTCTAACAGATGGATAATGAGCTCGGAAGGTCTCTTGCAATAAATAATCTGTAACATCTGGTGCCAAATCCCCAACAAAAATAGAATGCTCAGGACCAGGGTCAGACCGTCTTTCTCCAATACCAAAAGAAGCCCAATTCAACCTGAAAGTTTGCTCAGTTCCAGGCATTTGTGTCCCATTGTAAGACTGCAAAATCCTTTCTGCTGCCGCATGACTAACAAACTCCACAAATCCGTATCCCTCAGGCTGTGCAGTGATCTTGTTGCGTATTATTTTCACTGAGACCAGCTGCAAAAAAGTAGAAAAACCACTTGGTTTCAAAAGGTGGAGCTATCTACCATACATGATTTCATGCCCTAAATTTCCCACTTTCAAGACCACCACAAGTTTAAAGCTTTTTGGAAATCTTTCAAACACTAGAGGAATTTGATTCAATCATTCGTTCCTTTTCACCTAAAGACTCAAAAATAACCAAACAATGAATAAACCCTATTCCCTACAGTATTGAACTCAACAACAAATTATCTCAACTCAAACAAGCTATAATCAAGTGAACCCTCTTCAATTAATAACAAAAGTAAGCGTAATTAATCTGTACAATCACAAATTCAAATTAACCATCTTCTATCTTAGACACCCAAAAGACGCAAGCCCCGTAATTGATTCACAGATGAACACATAGATATCAAAAAGTGTTACATACATATAGAGAAGCTCCTTAAAAAGTACATACCTCGCCGGTGTGAGCGAAGCAGGAGGTGAGGTAGGACTCATCGACCCAGTACTGTAGGTCCCCAATCCAGAGCGTACGGACTTCCTCCAGAGTTGTCGGATGGTGTGGGTGTTGCGGTGCCGCTGCTGCTGTCGCCATTGTTGTCTTCTGCTCTCTCCGATACACCTCTCCTCCACTACGCTCTATTCAACAAAAGGCGTTTTGGAGGAGACAATGGGCCGCGAGCTTTATGACTTATATTGGGCTTCAAGATGGGCTGTTTCTATTCCAGCTTTCATCATTTTTCAGGCGTAAAGCCCATGGCCTTATTTTATAAGGCTTTGATTTTATTTATTTTATTTTATTTATCTAACAATTAAAAGAATTTCAGATGATTTTTAGATTGCAAAACACCAGTCATTAGATTAGGAGTGTCTGCCCTTGCAATCAGAGGATCCTGTTGATATGATAATAGTCTGCAATCAAGATTGGATTACACTATTTTGAAAGAATTTTCAATGCAAAGTGAGGAAAAAAAAGATGGCAATTACAAAGTGCAAGAGGAAGATTAACCCTGATAGCAGTTATGGTTTTGAATACCAAAATATCTTAATTTTTCTCAATCCTTTAAAAGAATGGAAATTACCTTTTTGTAATTAATTTGTATTGAAAATTTTTTTTTAAAAATAATTTTAATTTTGTCAATCATCTAATTAAAAGCATGCAAATGGAATTAATGATAAAAATAAAGTCAATTTTTGTGGTTTTCTATAGAGATTAAATGTTAAAATGTATAAAAATATTAATGCATCATTACTATGTACCCTTAGGTAATAAATTAGATGATCCCTAAAGAATTTCAATCCTATTACTTACAAAAGAATTTCGGATGATATTCAAACTACTAAACACTAATCATCAGATTAAGGGATTTGCCTTTGCAATCAGAGTCCCACTAATTTGATGATCAATGTATTTTACGGCTCAATGCAAATTGACAAAAAAAATTACGTTAATTACAAAGTGTAGGAGAGGATGATAAACTTCGGTAGAGTTTTCAATAGAGCTTTCAATGAGAGTTGCAGCTGTAGCATGTATTGATTGCATTCACTTATTAAATAAGATTATATATATGCAAGTAGTAGTAACGGTGGCCTAAAACTGACCACGCCTCTGACCCATTTGAATTACTCTAATGCATCTCATGAATACAAAAGGGTAAAGAGTCTTTTGTAATTAAATTTTTTAAGAGTATAATAAATATATCTTTTTGTTATAAATTTTTATTAAAAAATAAAAATTAACTTTTAATTTATTATTTAATTATATTTTATTTGACATCAACATTAAAATTAATGTCAATTTTTATATATTTTTTTATATATTTATAATAAAAAATAACCTTGTACATGTTAGAAAACCCAATAATAATTTACTTTTATGTAGGTGTAGATTTATTTAAATATAAATTTTATACATTATATTTATATAAAATCTTGATTATTTATCTCTCTACTTTCAATTATTAAAATTTATT